GGGATAAAGAGCAGAGCAGACTCAGGGAGGAGACAGGGTGGGGTGGGGTGAGGAGGTGGGCCGTGCTAATTCTCTCTCATCAAACCCCTGGGTGGCCCATGCAGGCAGATGCAGGGGTGGGAGCTCACAGATGCCCGAGGCAGCAGGCGGTCCCGCAGCCCTCTTGCTCTCCTCCTACCCTGGGCTGATGGGGCTCAGAAGCCCCATCCCCAGTGGCTGGAGGGTGGTTGGGCCCTGGAGGCCCAGTAGTGGCATCCTAGCTAGGGGCACTGGGTGACTTGCTTCACCATTCTGAGTCACACTGGGACCTGTAGGCTGAGCGTCTGACCTGAAGTGCAGGTCGGGGTTTCCACACATGGGCACAAAGACGCTGATGGCACAGGACAGAATCAAGGACCAGGGGGGCCCAACCCAGGAGAGGCGTTTGAGGATTTTGCTCAAAGCCAAGAACTGTGCCACTGCTGGGGCTGTAAGCGCCAAAATCCTCCTCCAACCAGCACCCATAGGCTGGACAGAGGTGAGGCCAGCCAGTGACAGGAGCTCTGGCCCGACTACCCTACTGGTGCTGCTGCCACTGGATGAAAGCACCAGGTTGCAGTGGAGCCCAGGAACAGGGGAGCCTCTGCAGATTTATGAGTAAGTGGGGAGTGCTATCAGGCTTGCATTTCAGTAAGATCATTGGGGCCAGGTGGAGGGGAGAGGCCAGACTGACTGAGAACCTGCCACAGCTCCCGGTCTCCCACGGGTCAATTTCCTCCGTCCGGCGTTCAGGGTCTTCCAAGTTCTGGCACCTGGCAGCTGCTTCAGTCCCCTGAGAATTCCTTCTGCTCCCCACCCTAATCTGCTCTGCTCATCACCCGCCTCCAACCTCTGGTCACGTATGCCCTCCTTGGTCTCTTGGTTGATGTGAACTCCACTCTTCCTTGCAGAACGCCGCAGCTGAGAGCACAGCCTCCCTGAGTCCCACAGACCTGTTCAGAAACCCAGCTTCATCATCGACTAGCTGTGTGACCTTGAGCGAGCCACTGAGCCTCTCTGGGGCTGAGTTGACCCTCCATGAAATGGGGAAGGCAGCTGCGAAGCTGAAGGGAGGTAACACCTGCCACATGCTTAGGACAGTGCCTGACCTCATCCTTACGAAGGACCAGCTCAGGACCACCTCCCCGGGGAGACCCTGTCCCAAAGCCCCAGCCTTTGGGGACTGGGGCCTTCTCTGAGATCCTACACACTGCAAATTGGCCTGTCAGCAGCCCTGAGGTGGGCCTGGGAGCACCTGGACATCCTGTTCCTGTCCTGGGAGGGCTCACTCCAGATCCTGCTAACCCCCACCCCGGCCTGCCCGGGACCATGCAGGATCCAGGGCCAGGGGACAAATGGGGGCTTCCCACATGTCTAAATATCTTAAAGTTATACAGTGGGCTAACCAACTTAAATAAAATATGCTCTATGTGCCTGCTTTGACAAGTATCTTTTGTAAGGACCTGGAAGGCCAGGTTGGCTTCCGATTTTGACCTTGCAGAGTTCGGCACTGGAACCGGACGGCCAGGGGAGAGCCAGCCCCTGGCCCTTTAAACCCCTACCTCCCCGCGTGCTTCTGTTCTGCACTGAGGGGCTTTATGTGCATGTGTGGACACCCACCTGCATGGCTATGCTTAGTCCACACCCCCCAAAGCAGCAGCCCCCTGGTCTAAGGATGCAGATGTCACTGGTGACGTAGTCTACCCTTAAGACATTCGGGGGAGAGGCCCACGCAGAGCCTGGGCTGGGGGCCAGTGAGGCGCATATTTGGTGTCCTGGGTAAGCACAACAGTCTCTCTTAGGGCCCCATTCTGCTACTGGGTCTGGGAGAATGAAGAGCCTCCTGGCCTGCTTCACCAAAGCGTGGAAGACTTAGCTTGTCAGATGGTAGTCAGTCTCCCAGGGGGTGCTTAGGACAGCATTCTCCAGTGAGCTGAGAGGGTGGTATGGAGAAAGAGAAAGGGGCTCAGCCATCTGGGAGAAGCACTCACACCTCTCTGGCCCATCCTCTCCCTCTTGCACCCCTGTATGCACACTCTGTGTACACCCTGCCCAAGGCGTCACCAGTGAGCCCCCCTTTTCCCCCTCCAAGCCTTCGCCAGTGCTGTCTGCCCTGCCTGCAGAGCCCTTTTCTGTTTAGCTGACTCCCACTGATCCGGAAGACCTCTTTCTCCTCTGTGGCCCCTCTTCATGCCCCCTGATTAGCTGCCTCCTTGCTGTGTTGGTGTGGCCGGGCAGCCACCCCCTGCCACATGTGTCACACTGGCCGGGATTTGCCTGTCCTCACATCCAGCCACACTGTCACTAGATGTCAGGCCTTCCAGGGGCAGCCTCACTCAGTACCTGGAGGTCACCGTGCCGGGCCCTCCAGGCCTCCCCGAAGCTGCTGCCACATAACACCAGAACCCCTTGGGAGAGCACCTTTATTATCAGAGCATTACAGACTTCCTGCCCGCCTCTGACCGTCCCTCCATGAGGACAGGCCTGCGGGAGGCCACACCTTGGCCCGGGAACAGCCCTGCTTCACGAGGGGCAGTCAGGGCCTTGAGGGCAGGGAGAGGCTACCAGGGCCCAGCAGGAGCAGGCAGAGCCTCCCAGGACCACGAGAGAGCTGGGGACAGGTAGCTCCTGCTGCCAGGGGCGACATGCCCAGGGTGGTGCCAGCACCTGTGAATCTCTGAGTTTGTTGTCCTCGCTGAGTTTGGGTCCTGGCCCAGCGAGAGAAGAGCACCAGGTTGGTCTGGGTCACAGGGGACCCGTGGCCTGAGAGGCCTTGAGTGGCTTGGGGGCTGTGGTCCCAGCTGCTCTGGGGCCCTGGGGACCCGGGGGTCTGTTGTAGAGCTGCTTGGGCCCACAGACCTGAGAGCAGGCACATCTCTCTTCAACAGAACCTGGGACTTAGGCAGTCCCCCTTCCTCAACTTTGCCAAGGAGACATTAGATTTGCCATGTAACAGGAGTGGCCAACCTCACAGATTCCCAGAGAAGGCAGGGATGCAAGTGATGGGCCCTGGAGGGTACACACAACCATTAAATCCTCCCCACTCCTGGCTCAGGGGCGGGAAGACCTTGGTGGGGATGGGTGGACTCAGAGAGTCTGGGAGGCAGTGGTAGGCTAGGCCAGTTTGGTATGAGGGCCTTCGCACCCCAATGCTCCTCTCTCAGTCCCCAGGTCCACGGGTCTGTCATGAGTTTACTCAGCGTCTCCCTGGCCCCAAGCCGGGCGGGAGGGGGTGGTCAAGGAGAAGGCTCAGGGCCCTGCCCTCCTTCCTGTTGGCCAGTCCAGCCTCCCCGCAGCTCCGTGCCCACCCTTTCGGAGTTTCCTGTGAAGGGGGGAAGATGGTTGGGTAAAGAGTTAAGGAACTTAAGAGGCCTGGGTTCAAATCCTGCCTCAGGTCTCCACGGCCTGGTGGTCTTGCAGGTTGTTTATCCTCTCCAAGCCTCTGTTTCCCATGTAAAGTGGGGATAACTAGCCTACCTCCTAAGGGTTAAATGAGACAATGTGGGGAGAACTCCTTGGACAGGCCCAGGCGTTGCAGGGACTCAGTAAATGATGCGTATTATGATTATTCTCACACCCCGCCCAGCCCACTCAGACTCCGTCTCCTGCAGGGAGTGGGGGGTGGGGGAGGGCAGGGGCAAGGGCAGGGCTCTGCCAAGGGTGCTGGGCCCCCCTGGACCCTGCCCCTGGAGATTCCATCTGTCCCCAAGCCCCAATGTCGCTCATGATTGTCTATGCCTGGAGCCCAGTCCCACTGGGGGCCTTCAGGAACCAGTGGCAGCACAGGCTTCAGGGCTGGCTGGGTCTCTGGTGGGGCCAGGCTTGTCCTGGAGAGCTGGGCCCTTACTTCCCCGCACTGGCCTGGCCAGTGCTCTTCTGCACAGGGCTGGGGCCAAGCAGGGCAGCGAGGGAACCATCAGGTGGGGCGCCACCACGCTTCATCTTGAGGTTGGCTCTCAGGGCGGCATCCTGGCCAGAGCCCCCCTCGGGGGAGGCCAGGGGATCTGGAAGGAGAGCAGGAGGGTGGCCTTGGAAGCACTCAAAGGCACCTTTGCTTGTGGTCCCTGGCCAGCAAAGGGTGCTCTGGGCCCAGTGAAGACAGGGTTTTCTACTCTTCATGCATTCACACACAGTCACTCATCCATTCATCCACTCAGTCATTCATTCATTCTTCAACAAATACCAATCAGGGCTGGGCTCCAGGCCCCACAGGGGTTTCAGTCAACACTCTGCTACCAGGGCCTTCCAGTGTGCCAGGGAGAGACACGGAAACCCCACCCTATGAGAGAACAGAAGGCTCTGCAGAGCACTGCGACGAGAGAGAAGGTCTGCTTCAACGAGGAAGAGGGCTTGTAGCAAGTCCTGAAGTGGAAGTTAGTGTTTAGCTGGCATAGGGAGTGGCTTGAGCAAAGGTGTGGAGGTGGGAGGGGGCCTGGGATGACTGGGTAGTGGCTCTGAGTCACTAGGCACCAGGCTATGCTGGGGAGGGACTTAGGACTAGATGCATCTGGATGTCAGTCATGTGCAGCAGGGAGACACTCAGGTTCCTTGAGCTGGGGAAGGGCAGGGTCAGACTGGGGTTTGGGGAAAATCACCTGGCAGCCAAGTGGAGGGGTCATGGAGGCAGGGAGACTAGCGATAGCCCCAGGCTATCACTCACCCAGAGTGAGGAGGTGAGAGTGAAGGGAGATTCCCAACTTGGTGGCCAGCTGTGGGCCCGCCTGTCCCCAGGCCCTGGTCACCACTCACCATGGATCCCAATCATGTGCTCCAGAATGAGGACTCTCTCCGCCAGGATCTTGAGGGCCTCCCGCAGCTGCTGCACCCCCTCGCCCTGGTGGGGAGGAAGCGGCCAGGATCAGGGCCATTCTGCCTCAGTGTACCTGTCGTCCCAGTTCTCACCTCTTCCCCCCTGTCACCATCATTAATACAACAGCCATCATTCACTATGTGCCAGGAGTGGCGTTCAAATTCTTGTTCAAAGACAAGGAACCTGAAGCACAGAGAGGGCAACCAGCATCCTGTGGCCACACAGCCTGGAAGCGGCCGACTGAGGCTTCATGCCGAGGCCTGTCCCCTCGAGCCTGGGCTCTTCCTGCTCCACAGATGCCTGACTGCTTCCCCTGTGTGCCTTTTCCAGAAAATACCCTGACTCGGGCAGAGCTCCTAGCATGGGCCACAGGTGGGGGGCCTTTGCTGGTTTTTTTCCTGGCACTGCCCACCTGAGAGCCCTCCAGGTGTGGCATACTGGCAAGAAAAGGGGAAGAGACACCACTTCCAAGTGCAGGCAGGAGGTTGTGTTGACGAGATGCTCAGAGTCTGCGTTTCTGAGACCTGGCCTACATGTGGGCAAAGGATCCTATGTGCCGAGACCTGTGAATGAGCTGGCTTGTTGAGAAGACAGGGGTCAAGGCCACTTTGAAAAGAAAGATAATGGTGAAGGGACAAGGCTCCACCTGGAGTCAGCAGCAAAACAGGTGCTGTTTGCTGGTATGACATGACAGCTGTCATGACATTCAGATTAGTTTAGCTTAAAACCAAACAAAGCGGGGTGGGGAAGCATCCTACTGGGTTACAGGACAGAGGACTTCCCACCAGGGAACCAAAGTCCACCAGAAACTGTGCTGTGGGCAGTATCTGGCATGGGGTGTCCCAGGTAAGAAGCAGGGGGCCCACGCCCCTCTGTCAGGGACCCAGCCAAGCCCCATGTCCCTGGGCCACAGGTTGCACTTGTATGAAACAGAGAAAGGGAGATCACAGGCCCCCTCAGCCTGGCATCACAGGTGGCCTGTGAATCTGCTCAAGCTCCCCTACCCTCATCTTCTTCCCATGCCCCCTGCACCCATCACAGCTGCTCTGGTTCCAGCATCTTCCCCCTTCTTCAGTCAGACAAGGATCATGCCAGATACCCTCATGCTTGGAACCTCCCAAGTTCACTCAGTTGAGGGGAGACATGTACCCATTCAGGGGATTCATATTCTCAGCTTGCATGGCCTCCTCTGCTGGTCCCACTGCTCTCGCCCCCTTTATCCATCATCCCAGTCTTCAGCACCCCTCCTCCTCCCCAGAAGGCAGTGGGCCCACATGGCCACACCCTCGCCCTGGCCATGCCCCTCCCTGCCCATCCTGCCTAGGGCCCCCGCGCGCTCCCACCCTCACTCCCTTATTGTCCCCTCCCACATTCATCAGCCATGTGTCATCTGTCCACCTATCCGCGTATCCTTCTGTCCACATATCCACAACTGTCCACATATCCTTCACTCCACCAGCCTGTGACCTTGTGGGCACATCTGTGTGCCAGGCACTGTCCATGGGCGAGTCCTGTCCCTGGAGAGGGACCCCACAGCCTGACGCCTCTTCTGCAGGTCCATGGCTCCTCCTGCCCTCTCCAGCAGGGTCTCCCCTGGCCCCCAGTTCTGGGCCAGTCACCCCATCTGTGCTACCCCCAATGCAGGTTCTTGACACTGTGCTGCAATCACGACTTCCCTCATCTGTCTCACCTGCTGGGCTGGGGTCCCCACTTGCCCAGGTTCAGGACTGAGGAGAGTCAGAACAGATCTGTTGGGTGTCCTCTCTCCCACTAACACACAGTCCAGGGGGGAGGAGGGAAGCACAGGCCAACAGCACAGTTACCTCTGCGGCAGCTTTCTCCTCTTCGTCCCCCTTCCCGCCAGGCTCACCCTGGAAGAAAGTCATGCAGTCAACAGTCAGTGAGGGGCGTGTGGTGGGGGGCTGGGGCGGGAAGAGCAGGGGACAACCAAGGCCCTGGTCACCCTGCACAGCCTGGCATGCGAGGTGTCTCGAGTTGGCTTTAGGGGCTTAATTCTGCTTCTGGGATGGGGGGAGTCAGGTTTGGGACCCCATGAGCTCATTTCTTGGTTTTTCCAGAGATCTCAGGACTGTTTCCCTGACTCTAAAACGGGGCCAGCCTCACAATAATGCTTACTTGGTACTTACTCCTCCTGTGTGACCTTGAGAACGTACTTTACCTCTGTGCCTCAGTGTTCTCATCTCTAAAAGGGGGGTAATAATAGTACCTACTTCATAGGACTATTAGAAGGATTAAGTAAAGCAACATTGATAAAGAGTTTAGACTGGAGCCTGGTGCCTAAAAGTGCTATGAAAGTGTTGTTATATGTTACTAGACAGAAGTCCAGGAGGAGCCATGGCTTTAGAGGCTAACTCTCCTGGGTTTAAATCTTGGCTCCATCATTGCCTTGCTGGTGACCTTGGTAAAGTTACTTACCCTCTGTGAGCTGCCAGTTCAGGCAAATGGGGATAATAAAGTATGGTCTTGCTGGGTCACTGTGAAGCTTAAATACACTATAAGAGTGCCTCCACTGTGGCCAGCACATAGTAGGTGCTCAGCAAAGATCACCACCACCACACCCCCTCAGCCCACCTCCACATAAGGCTTGAGCACGAAGGAGGTTCTACCCTTACAGGCAGGAGTTCAGACTCAGGAGTTCTTGTCTCCAAGAAGGGAAATTAGAGGTCAGCAGTCTAAGCCTCCTATTTCTGGGAGGTCAGAGAAGGTAAGGGGTGCTCCAGGTCACACAGCACATTAACCCAGGGGTCTGGATTCCCAGAAGACACCTCAGGACTCTCATCCAAACCCCTTAACAGGAGGCTATTTCAGTCCTTGCTCACATTCCCAATGAGGGGGCTCCCCCACCCTCCAAGCTCAACCCTTCTCAACTTGGGAAGTTGGGACTGTACTCAAGTTGCCCCCTCTCTCCACTGCCTCATCCTGGCAGAGTTGGATATTTTGGGCAGGTTGTGGGGCTGAGCTCAGGCAAGGCTGCCAGGAAGAGATCCCACCCCCCTGGTACCCTGGGCCCATACCAGAGCACACTGCCCTAGGAGCGGCCCATCTACACAGCCCCACACTTACAGATGGCCCCATCATGCCCCGCTCTCCAGCCAGGCCCTGTGGAAAATCAAACAAAGCAAATTAGCCCTTGCCGGCCCTCACCAACCCCTCAGTCCTCCCCTCCCCCTCT